AAAATAAATTTTCACAATTGGATCTTGAAAGATTTGACAAGTAGTAAAACCTAGATCCTATTGGTGGTGGACTTTTGGGTTTCTTTTGGTGATTCTTTGGGAAATACTAGTTTTATGGCGATTATTGCTTGAACCTTGGTGTTTGGTAATTAGAGTTGGAAGTATTATTATATGTATAGTAACCTCCTAGTATTTTGCAGGAATCATTTGGAAACTGGTGGATGAGATTTCAACCCACTATGGGACGTATATTCTTTTTCTCAAAATACTAATTTCTCAAACTTCATTTTATCTATCACTGTGTATTAGTGGATTAGTTCCCATTTCTCAAAGCATAGTGAATTGCATAATTTTGTGATTCCTTGTAATATATGCATAAATATATTTCTTGAATTAGGCCTTGAGCTCGGGTCTTGGACCTCTCGGAATCCTGGTGAATTCAAACACAGAGTATGAAGGAATTTCCTGGTATATGCATCAATACTATTCTCTTTCTTTGCACTATGATTATTTGCCATTTTGGAACTATTTGATATTTGATATTTTAGTCTAACACTTTGTGTTGTTTAACCCTTTTGTTTTGGAATATGAGCACTTACTGTTGAACAAAGACTTTAAACCTATTTTGTGTTGATTAAAAATCTTTCAAACGACAATTACTACATTTGAACTTGGAGTTTTTAATGAAAAAGGGGATTTTTACCATTTGGCAGCAAAAAATGAGAGGAGTCCTTGTTCAACGGAAAGTTTTAAAGGCAATAATTGGTGAATTTCCTGAAACTATAACTGCTGATCAAAAAATTGAATCTGATGAACTTGCATATACTTCTATCATTCTTCATTTTTCTAATCAAGTCTAAAGAAAAGTAACTAAACTTGATAATGCTAAGGCTTTGTGGTAGAAATTGGAAGAACTACTCCTGGTTAAGTCTCTACCTAATAAACTGTTATTTCTAGAGAGGTTTTTAAGTTTTAAGATTGATCTCTCAAGAGATTTAGATGATAATCTTGATACCTCTCGTAAATTAGTACAAGATATTGCTAATGCTGGGGACAAGGTATTTTGAGGAATACAAGGCAGTAATTCTTCTTAATTCCATACCTGAGGCATATTAAGATGTTAAAATTGCTAACAAATACGGTAGGGATACCTTGACACCTGATGTAGTTATAAATTCCTTAAGAAGTAAATAATTAAAGAACAAGGCTGAAAGACATAGGACGGAAAATGAAAGTTTATTTGTAAGAGGTAGGTCTATTATTAGACAGGGTGATAGTCAGAACAGTCAAGACAGTCGAGCAGAATAAAGGGAAAGGGATGAATTGATCAAAGCCTAAAAATGGAATTAGGAAACATTATGGGCATGGAAAAAAGATGACATTATGTCAAGAATTGTTATAAGAAAAAGAATGAACAAAAAGTGGATGAAGGAAATGTTGTTGAGCCATTAAGTAAAAAGACTGTAGATGTCTATCTTGTGACAAAATCCACTATTGAACTTAATACTGCAAACTTTGTCAATAACAGTGATTAGAATGTTAAGTGGATTCTGGATTTAGGTTGCGCTTTTGATATCACCTCAAGAAAACCTTGGTTAGAAGACTTTAAGGATCTTGATGGAGGGGAGATTGTTATGGGCAATAATGCTACCTGCAGAGTCAATCGAATAGGCAGTGTGACTTTGAAATTTGAAAATGGGTATATTTTTACCTTGGAAAGGGTGAGGTATGTTCCTGACATGAATAGAGATTTAATTTTAATGGGAAATCTATATGACATAGGCCTATAAAGCAGGTTTGGAGATGGCAACCTGAAAATAATTAAGGGCTCCTTAATTATTTTTAGAGGTACCAAAAGAAATGGGATATATGCCACTAGAGACAGTATTTTAAGTCACAGGTAGAATCCTCTAATACTGAGAATGATGCAACCTTGGAATTGCATAATAGACTAGTTCATATTCGTGAAAAAATCTTGTGCATTTTAAGTAAAAAGGGAGGTTTTTAGAGACAATATTTCTAAAGTTCCCCTTTGTTAGTATTGCACTTTAGGCAAACAGCATAGACATCATTTTAATTGGAAAACACATATTACATCTATCCTTGAATACATACATTCTGATTTGTGAGGCCTATCATCCACCTCTTCTCAAGGTGGAAATAAATGCTTTTTTGTCATTGATTGATGATTTTTCTTAAAAAAAAAAAAAAAGTATGAATATTTCTTTTGAAACAAAAATCATATACTTTTGAAAAGTTTAAAGCATGTAAAACTTTAATTGAAAATCAAATGGGTAAAAAGAACTAAAATTTTGAGAATAGACAATGGCCTAAAATTTTGTAATGCTAATTTTGACAAACTGTATGAAAATGATGGGATTTTAAGGCATAAAACTATTCCATATACCCCACAACATAATGGTGTAGCTGAGAGAATGAATAGAACAATTTTAGACAATGTTAAATGTATTATGTTTAGCTCAGGTACTCCTAAAGTTTTTTTTTGGGGTGAGGCTATTATTACAGCTATATATATCATAAATAGAACACCAACTAGCTCCTAGATGGAAAAACATCTGAGGACTGGAATGGAGATAAGAGAACCCGTGACTTGGGGAATCCTTTAGATGATTATCTTCTAGTCGGGGATAGGACTAGAATGAAGATAAGAGAACCTATGAGAATGAATGGTTACTTGTCCCTAGCTATCATGTCATATCAAGATTTGGCATTTCAAGAGAGAAAATCTTATGAGAAGGTTGTCAGTTGCCAACTCTCTACAGAGTGGCAAACTGCTATGGAAGAGGAAATGAAGTCATTAGTAAAAAATAATATTTGGAACCTTGTGCCTAAACCTGAAAATAAGTCTTAAGTAGATTGAAAGTGGATCTATAGCATTAAGGAAGGAAATTCTACAAAACAACCTCTTAGATTCAAAGCCAGATTAGTGGCCAAGGGATTTGCCCAAGCCTAGCATAGATTACAATGAGATTTTTTTTCCCAATTATAAAATACACTACTATAAGAGTTACACTTGCTTTGGTTGCACATTATGTCCTTGAACTTGAACAAATGGACATTAAAACAACTTTCTTGCATGAGGATCTTGATGAGGCTATATATATATGTGTTAGCCACAAAGGTTTATTGATATCGAAAGATCTAATCATGTGTGTCTCTTAAAAAGGTCTTTATACGGCTTAAAACAATCACCTAGGCAATAGTATAAGAGGTTTGATAACTTTGTGTCATCTGTTGATTTTATAAGAAGCTATTTTGATCATTATCTTTATCTCAAAAATGGTGATAATAAATGTGTGATTGTGCATCTGCTTCTGTATGTGGATGATTTGTTATTAATAAACAAAAAGATCTGTGATATAAATGACATAAAAAGGTGCTAAGTGTTGAATTTGAAATGAGAAAGATTTAGGCATGCTAGAAGAATTTTGGAAATGAACATTAAAAGAAATAAATCCCAACAATTACTTATTTATACAATTTGACTAAGAGAAAAAGGTGTTATCAAGTCTACAATACATGATCCTAAGTCAGTTACTCACCTTTGACTAATTCCTTAAATAAAGCTTCACAGCCGGAAGGAATAGAACAAGAGAGATGAAACCTCCCTCCAAAGCTGATTGAATGGTTGGATAGCCACTCAACTGTACAATAATCGGTTGAAACTGCCTGGTCAACGCTCATCCCTTGTTTAACAAATCACTTCTTTAAATAAGATCTTCTTTCAGGGAATCGGTTCTTCCTTCCCTATCCTATCTAATAGAGGAAGTCAGTCGATCGAGAAGGAAGTAAGACCCCTTGAAAGTCTAAATGGAGTTCTTGGCAGGGAAATGAAGAAACCATAGAGAAGAACTAATGGACAGACCGCATAAGACTACTGGAATAGAAAGAGAGAGAAGGGATTCATGGGCAGAGGGGGAAGATCTGATTTTTATCAATATATAATGCTCATCCCTTATTTAACAAATCACTTCTTTAAATAAGATCTTCTTTCAGGGAATCGGTTCTTCCTTCCCTATCCTATCTAATAGAGGAAGCCAGTCGATCGAGAAGGAAGTAAGACCCCTTGAAAGTCTAAATGGAGTTCTTAGCAGGGAAATGAAGAAACCATAGAGAAGAACTAATGGACAGACTGCATAAGACTACTGGAATAGAAAGAGAGAGAAGGGATTCATGGGCAGAGGGGGAAGATCTGATTTTTATCAATATATAAATTATTATCAATATATAAAATGACTTCTATATATTGAACGAAATCTACTGCTACTAGAAAAGCGATGCCCTAGGACCAGCCTCGAAGGAAGGAGAAGCTACCTAACTTAGCGAGTTAGCAGGGACTAGAAGGTAGGAGGCTTCACACACAAAGGAACTACTTAAGGGCGGACCTTATATCATTCCTAGTCAGGAATGTAGGGCAGGGGGAGCAGAATGCCTTATGCAGCTAGGAGTGCAGGAAGGGTAGACGGTTTTGCACCGAGAATGAATGACATAGAATCGTATTAATAATCGTCTGATAATCTAGCTAGCGTAGAGCTACTAGACGAGGACTCACTCTACCCCGGAAGGGGGAGCAGAATGTCTTATGCAGCTAGGAGTGCAGGAAGGGTAGACGGTTTTGCATCGAGAATGAATGACATATAATCGCATTAATAATCGTCTGATAATCTAGCTAGCTATGAGCTACTAGACGAGGACGAACTCGCTTTCGTAGGGCTCCAAGGCTTCTTTCACTCCTAACTTTCCTTTCTTAACCCAAGAAATAGAAGCTTACACTAACCGGGCTTTTTCTTACCTTTTGGTTTCTATTTGTAAGTGTGTTTCTTAGGTTCATCAGCTTTCTGTGCAGAGTGCGATTGACTCTTACCAAGGTTAGCTTTATCTTGATAAGGCTCATTATTGATACTATCAAGTTTTGACTTTAAATCAGCAATTTCTCTGTCTTTCTTAGCTAAATTCTCCATATTTATCTCATATAGTTCCTAAAGACGCATCACTTCATATGCTCGTATCCTATTTTCTTGACCAATGAAGTTTGTAACATCCAATGGTACAGTGTCCACCCAAAGATTATTATCATACACAGGTTCCCTCTTGTTACCAATTCTGATTCCAAGGTTCACTAGTGTTTCCTTTTTGGAGATGTTCAGTCTTTTCCAATCAATGTTGAAATTAGATTCCACAGAGGTTAGCTTTGTTCTAGATATATCAACGTATAGTGACTCAAACCATTCATTATCGACCAATGATTTTGCATGACCCTTGTGCTTAATGATTCCTTTGTCTTCTTGAGTCAAAAATGAATAACTCTTTGGTGCTAAGAAGATGCCTTTCTTTATATAGTTTTCTAACTTAAACTTACCTAATACAGTTGAAGAAATCTCTTCTTCAGGAAGAGGACCGCCAAGAACGACAGAGTCCGTATCAGTGTAGTAACAGTCAGGTCTGGAAATGTATATGTACATATAAATACGAGCACAAGCTGTAATAGCAGCGGACAATTGAACAACCGCTATCTTAGGAGGATTCCAGTCTGTGTCGTCAACATGTTCTATATTCCTTAAGTAACTTACTATATAGTAATGCTCGCTCAGCTTGTCCCCTAAGATTAAATCACTTTTCTTTATCAAATAGTTATATCGATCATAATCGTAGATCTCAGTTACAGTGCTTTTAGGGTTAATACCAAATCTACCGTATAGCGAGTTCATGAGTATCTTATAAACATAGGACATTGTGTCATTACCTGCTCTCTTAGCTTCTTGTCTTCTATCGAATATGTCGAAAACAAAGCTTTTGAAAGGGATGCTATTCTTCTTTTCAAACAAGTAGCTTGAAAGAGGAATGCTCTGGTAGCCTATGTCGCGTGCATACTTTAACTCTTCGCTATAATACACGTCCACGAACTTTCCGATTGGGAAGAGTAGAGTTTGATTCTTTTCATCCCGATAGGGTAGGAATGGTGGAGAGATAGTACGAGGACATACAACGTAGGCCTCAATAAAGCCAAACAAGTTGTCTAAATCCTGACCTTCTAACTTACCATGCCAGACAGTCTCACCCCTAGGCATTGTATAGGACTTCATAATATAGGGATATAAGGAGTTCACGTCGTAATAGTATAGATTATCACCGCAAGGTATATAAGCATCAGAATGGCCACCATAGTAACCACGACGAATGAAAGTGTCTTCGTTCCGATTTGGGATATAAATAGACCAGTTGTTTTGAACGTAATAGTTCGTACGAAAGATAGTGAGAGCTAGCGAAGACAAGGTCAATTTAGTCACGATATCTACATTGCATATAGTCCAATAAATCTCTAAAGCCTTCAGCATCACACCACCTAGTAGAAGGATGTCCTGTTTCATATACACTAACAATTGATGCTGGAGAGGGATTAGATTCGAGACTTGCACTTCGTCATGTTGGATGGTTCCTTTTGATCCTAATTGAGGAGAGAGATTTTTGGCTAAGTTATCAGGACTACTCGTGAGCAGTGTTAAGGAATCCCTTAGAAGGAATAGTCGCTTCTTACCAAGATAGACAGCTATCTGGTATAGCCTATGGTTCCTCATAAGAGGTTTGATGGCGTACTTATCTCCACGAGAAGCATAATATTTCAATAAGAGAATGCCATCAAATCGGGAGAGGTTGTGTAAGTAGACCGTTAGAATCGATGGATTGTGTCTAACAACAACAGCTAGACGTTCTATAAAGTCGAACAACATCTTATTGCTCCTTTCTTCAAAGGTTTTGAAGACAAAATCCGGGTAATCCTCACTGAAATATGTCTCAATGCCCTTCTCTGCTGAGGACAGATCATCACCTGGTCTAACCACTAAGAAACCCACAGCGTAAGGCACATGAATTTGATTTCAGAAAACTGTCTCAATATCAGCTACAATGAATGGCTGCCTTTGACTTTTATTAGGTTTGAGTGCTGTGAGATGCTTTAGATAACGAAGCTTACGATATCCTATCGTTCTCGCTTTTTTAGGTTCAACGACCACCTTGTTTTCGATGCATTCCCAGAGCTTGCTAGCAATCTTGTCATCGGAGATAATTGGCGTCACACCAGCCTTCATTTCAGAAAGATAGATTCTAATATTAATGCGAGATATCTTTGCATCCTTGTAATCCTCTGCTTTCTTCCTGACAAGTTGATCAATCAAAGCATAGACTGACAAATCTTTCCCATCCTCTCTAAAAGTAAAAGCATTACTAATTGCAAAGGGAACCTCTCCTGTAGGTATTTTCAAGACATAACTAATAGTAAACTTCCCATAATCACACTTAGTAGTGTAAGCATACTTGATTAGTAGTCGCATAACAGCAAACAATATCAGATCACAGTCAATACATCTTAAAAATGGCATATTGAAATCAACTTTAGCATTTCTCAATCCTGGATAGGGATCCATGAAATCTTCATTTTTTCTTGACTTCAGTAAGCAGCCCCATAATACATCAAATAGTTCTTTTGTCATCATAAGTGTAAACTATAGTTATAATGAAATAAATTCCATATATTCATAGACGAAATGAAATCATTCTATTTTTGATAATTTTCACATATTCCCGTTTCTGTATTGTAATTGAATGTAGTAGTTATATAGTATGCATAAGCAGTATATATACTATTTATCTTTTTTTCCCAAATTAACTTCTTAGTATTATTTAAATTCTTTGGCATTCTATCTTCTAAGATATTTTTAAGAAAATCAAGTGGAAGCGAGTCCTCCAGGGGAGGGTGCGAAACCCTGCCATCCTGTAGATTTCAAATAAGAAAATGGTTTATAATTAATAATGGGTAATTCGCATTAATATTAGAAATATATAAATTTGGGATGCGCATAGCGTAAGGAGCTGTACTAATGAAATTATCGTGAACAGTGTAGATAGGAGCACCAATAGTTATCATGTTAGATATCATTAACATTGCTATATGAGCATCTTTCTGATGAATGAAGTTGGCAAAGGTAGCCGCACGAGTCTTCCTTTGATCCCGATCTTCTGTGGGAATTCGTAGACTCATTTGACGCCTTTTCTTGTGGATACGATCTAGAGAAGTAATTTGACTACTTTCATTTTCATATAGTCCTGTACTGTTGTGTATATAGATGTACTATAGAATACGGGTTTGCCCAAGGCGGAAGATAACCAACCAACATTATCAATTCCATTAGATTGACTATACCCGGAAATCTCTCTTGAAAGAAGTTATTCATGTGTAATGCTACTAGTGCGGATTCCCATCTACTTAATAAGTTTGAACTCTGAGTTCCATCACGATGATTAGTTATATAATGATTATAAATATCACCAGCCATGCTTTTTAAAGTCTTACCATATATCAATGGCATGAAGAGTACTTTGATTAATTTTCGAGTAAGACGAGGAACAACTACCTTAAATAGATTGGTATCCAATTTATTATGCAAGTAAACCTTAAGCTCTTCTAGAAAGAAGGTGTAAATATCATTGATCTTTTGATGATCATAAGAAGCGGGTATGAGATTTGTTTGTTTAGCTACTTCTTTATCTAACAAGAAAAAACTCATGAGCTGATAAGCACTTGCAGAGGCACCTTGAGTGATAGGAATTTTCATATGATCAGTCTTACCGCCTTCGATACATAGAACCTTGCTTATGAACTGATAGGGTTCTCTCGCAGCAATAGCAAAATGGATGAGACTTTCATCCGATGAATTAATCAAACTTTTCTGATCGAGATACCATTGATGAGGATCATCATAAGAAATGAACTTCTTATAATGAAAAGTTGCTGCTGAGCTTAATACCATATAAACATTATCCTTCTTTTCATCACTATCCAATTGAAAATTGTCTGAAGGTGTATTAGAAAAAACTATTAGACTTCTAGCCAAATCACGTTCATGGAAATGTAATATCCCAGAGCGATAGATTCTACCATGGAAGTCAAGGAAGGACGGCAGATAAAATCGATAACCTTCGTAGGCTGATACTAGATTTATTATGAAGGTTTCATAACGAGCACGTTGGATACGCTTCATGAACTCCTTAACCAAGTTTTGATAATTACAAACTTTCATCAAAGACGGATCCTCTACGTAAGACATTCTCAATAGGTCAATGGACTTTGATACATTTAATGAAGCTAGAAATTTAGGCATAAGTAGACCAGATTTCACTAATTGATCGTAATTCTGATTAATGAAGGTTAATACATCTTTGTTAATCTCAAAAGCATGCGACTGTAACTCGTTCATGATTCCGCTCAATATTGTGTAATCAGTTTCAAACTTAATATGGAAATGGAAGAAGTCACGGCTACTTAATAGTTGATAGCGATGTTGATAAAAATAACCAATAGGCATGCTTAAGTAACCGCCACGCATATCGGATAGAGATGAAGGGTTCTCACTTGAGGATGCCCAAGCCATAGGCTTACATACCATTGGTAGATTGAGCTTGATCGGAAGGATACTGAGATCAAAATTACATATAGCATAATAATTGATTGGTAAATAAAACTTACCTTTCTTCTTAACTGTGTACTTTGTGTAAATTTCATTGAAGTTCTTTTTTTTGGGTGTTAATCCGTGTGTTGAGTCTTTGTGATTCTTCGATTTATGGTTGAGAAGTTGTAATCAGAGTTAGGCTTGATTTTTGGTCCATTGTAGTAGCTGCCTCTGTTCGATCTGTTTGTGGTTAGGTTTGTGGAGTTTTCATTTTGTACAGAAGGGTACAATGACGTTCTAAGCCCAAAATAATCGAATCTTGATGCAAATGGTTACTTTCTATATTTTGTGTTCTTTTGAGTTCTTCTGGGTTTGAGTTGTAACAGTGGTGTTAGAGCCATTTTTTAGTTATTCGAGTCTTCGTCTTTGCAATCTGGTTATTGAAAATAAATTTTCACAATTGGATCTTGAAAGATTTGACAAGTAGTAAAACCTAGATCCTATTGGTGGTGGACTTTTGGGTTTCTTTTGGTGATTCTTTGGGAAATACTAGTTTTATGGCGATTATTGCTTGAACCTTGGTGTTTGGTAATTAGAGTTGGAAGTATTATTATATGTATAGTAACCTCCTAGTATTTTGCAGGAATCATTTGGAAACTGGTGGATGAGATTTCAACCCACTATGGGACGTATATTCTTTTTCTCAAAATACTAATTTCTCAAACTTCATTTTATCTATCACTGTGTATTAGTGGATTAGTTCCCATTTCTCAAAGCATAGTGAATTGCATAATTTTGTGATTCCTTGTAATATATGCATAAATATATTTCTTGAATTAGGCCTTGAGCTCGGGTCTTGGACCTCTCGGAATCCTGGTGAATTCAAACACAGAGTATGAAGGAATTTCCTGGTATATGCATCAATACTATTCTCTTTCTTTGCACTATGATTATTTGCCATTTTGGAACTATTTGATATTTGATATTTTAGTCTAACACTTTGTGTTGTTTAACCCTTTTGTTTTGGAATATGAGCACTTACTGTTGAACAAAGACTTTAAACCTATTTTGTGTTGATTAAAAATCTTTCAAACGACAATTACTACATTTGAACTTGGAGTTTTTAATGAAAAAGGGGATTTTTACCATTTGGCAGCAAAAAATGAGAGGAGTCCTTGTTCAACGGAAAGTTTTAAAGGCAATAATTGGTGAATTTCCTGAAACTATAACTGCTGATCAAAAAATTGAATCTGATGAACTTGCATATACTTCTATCATTCTTCATTTTTCTAATCAAGTCTAAAGAAAAGTAACTAAACTTGATAATGCTAAGGCTTTGTGGTAGAAATTGGAAGAACTACTCCTGGTTAAGTCTCTACCTAATAAACTGTTATTTCTAGAGAGGTTTTTAAGTTTTAAGATTGATCTCTCAAGAGATTTAGATGATAATCTTGATACCTCTCGTAAATTAGTACAAGATATTGCTAATGCTGGGGACAAGGTATTTTGAGGAATACAAGGCAGTAATTCTTCTTAATTCCATACCTGAGGCATATTAAGATGTTAAAATTGCTAACAAATACGGTAGGGATACCTTGACACCTGATGTAGTTATAAATTCCTTAAGAAGTAAATAATTAAAGAACAAGGCTGAAAGACATAGGACGGAAAATGAAAGTTTATTTGTAAGAGGTAGGTCTATTATTAGACAGGGTGATAGTCAGAACAGTCAAGACAGTCGAGCAGAATAAAGGGAAAGGGATGAATTGATCAAAGCCTAAAAATGGAATTAGGAAACATTATGGGCATGGAAAAAAGATGACATTATGTCAAGAATTGTTATAAGAAAAAGAATGAACAAAAAGTGGATGAAGGAAATGTTGTTGAGCCATTAAGTAAAAAGACTGTAGATGTCTATCTTGTGACAAAATCCACTATTGAACTTAATACTGCAAACTTTGTCAATAACAGTGATTAGAATGTTAAGTGGATTCTGGATTTAGGTTGCGCTTTTGATATCACCTCAAGAAAACCTTGGTTAGAAGACTTTAAGGATCTTGATGGAGGGGAGATTGTTATGGGCAATAATGCTACCTGCAGAGTCAATCGAATAGGCAGTGTGACTTTGAAATTTGAAAATGGGTATATTTTTACCTTGGAAAGGGTGAGGTATGTTCCTGACATGAATAGAGATTTAATTTTAATGGGAAATCTATATGACATAGGCCTATAAAGCAGGTTTGGAGATGGCAACCTGAAAATAATTAAGGGCTCCTTAATTATTTTTAGAGGTACCAAAAGAAATGGGATATATGCCACTAGAGACAGTATTTTAAGTCACAGGTAGAATCCTCTAATACTGAGAATGATGCAACCTTGGAATTGCATAATAGACTAGTTCATATTCGTGAAAAAATCTTGTGCATTTTAAGTAAAAAGGGAGGTTTTTAGAGACAATATTTCTAAAGTTCCCCTTTGTTAGTATTGCACTTTAGGCAAACAGCATAGACATCATTTTAATTGGAAAACACATATTACATCTATCCTTGAATACATACATTCTGATTTGTGAGGCCTATCATCCACCTCTTCTCAAGGTGGAAATAAATGCTTTTTTGTCATTGATTGATGATTTTTCTTAAAAAAAAAAAAAAAGTATGAATATTTCTTTTGAAACAAAAATCATATACTTTTGAAAAGTTTAAAGCATGTAAAACTTTAATTGAAAATCAAATGGGTAAAAAGAACTAAAATTTTGAGAATAGACAATGGCCTAAAATTTTGTAATGCTAATTTTGACAAACTGTATGAAAATGATGGGATTTTAAGGCATAAAACTATTCCATATACCCCACAACATAATGGTGTAGCTGAGAGAATGAATAGAACAATTTTAGACAATGTTAAATGTATTATGTTTAGCTCAGGTACTCCTAAAGTTTTTTTTTGGGGTGAGGCTATTATTACAGCTATATATATCATAAATAGAACACCAACTAGCTCCTAGATGGAAAAACATCTGAGGACTGGAATGGAGATAAGAGAACCCGTGACTTGGGGAATCCTTTAGATGATTATCTTCTAGTCGGGGATAGGACTAGAATGAAGATAAGAGAACCTATGAGAATGAATGGTTACTTGTCCCTAGCTATCATGTCATATCAAGATTTGGCATTTCAAGAGAGAAAATCTTATGAGAAGGTTGTCAGTTGCCAACTCTCTACAGAGTGGCAAACTGCTATGGAAGAGGAAATGAAGTCATTAGTAAAAAATAATATTTGGAACCTTGTGCCTAAACCTGAAAATAAGTCTTAAGTAGATTGAAAGTGGATCTATAGCATTAAGGAAGGAAATTCTACAAAACAACCTCTTAGATTCAAAGCCAGATTAGTGGCCAAGGGATTTGCCCAAGCCTAGCATAGATTACAATGAGATTTTTTTTCCCAATTATAAAATACACTACTATAAGAGTTACACTTGCTTTGGTTGCACATTATGTCCTTGAACTTGAACAAATGGACATTAAAACAACTTTCTTGCATGAGGATCTTGATGAGGCTATATATATATGTGTTAGCCACAAAGGTTTATTGATATCGAAAGATCTAATCATGTGTGTCTCTTAAAAAGGTCTTTATACGGCTTAAAACAATCACCTAGGCAATAGTATAAGAGGTTTGATAACTTTGTGTCATCTGTTGATTTTATAAGAAGCTATTTTGATCATTATCTTTATCTCAAAAATGGTGATAATAAATGTGTGATTGTGCATCTGCTTCTGTATGTGGATGATTTGTTATTAATAAACAAAAAGATCTGTGATATAAATGACATAAAAAGGTGCTAAGTGTTGAATTTGAAATGAGAAAGATTTAGGCATGCTAGAAGAATTTTGGAAATGAACATTAAAAGAAATAAATCCCAACAATTACTTATTTATACAATTTGACTAAGAGAAAAAGGTGTTATCAAGTCTACAATACATGATCCTAAGTCAGTTACTCACCTTTGACTAATTCCTTAAATAAAGCTTCACAGCCGGAAGGAATAGAACAAGAGAGATGAAACCTCCCTCCAAAGCTGATTGAATGGTTGGATAGCCACTCAACTGTACAATAATCGGTTGAAACTGCCTGGTCAACGCTCATCCCTTGTTTAACAAATCACTTCTTTAAATAAGATCTTCTTTCAGGGAATCGGTTCTTCCTTCCCTATCCTATCTAATAGAGGAAGTCAGTCGATCGAGAAGGAAGTAAGACCCCTTGAAAGTCTAAATGGAGTTCTTGGCAGGGAAATGAAGAAACCATAGAGAAGAACTAATGGACAGACCGCATAAGACTACTGGAATAGAAAGAGAGAGAAGGGATTCATGGGCAGAGGGGGAAGATCTGATTTTTATCAATATATAAATTATTATCAATATATAAAATGACTTCTATATATTGAACGAAATCTGCTGCTACTAGAAGAGCGATGCCCTGGGACCAGGCTCGAGGGAAGGAGAAGCTACCTAACTTAGCGAGTTAGCAGGGACTAGAAGGTAGGAGGCTTCACACAGGGGGAGCAGAATGTCTTATGCAGCTAGGAGTGCAGGAAGGGTAGACGGTTTTGCATCGAGAATGAATGACATATAATCGCATTAATAATCGTCTGATAATCTAGCTAGCTATGAGCTACTAGACGAGGACGAACTCGCTTTCGTAGGGCTCCAAGGCTTCTTTCACTCCTAACTTTCCTTTCTTAACCCAAGAAATAGAAGCTTACACTAACCGGGCTTTTTCTTACCTTTTGGTTTCTATTTGTAAGTGTGTTTCTTAGGTTCATCAGCTTTCTGTGCAGAGTGCGATTGACTCTTACCAAGGTTAGCTTTATCTTGATAAGGCTCATTATTGATACTATCAAGTTTTGACTTTAAATCAGCAATTTCTCTGTCTTTCTTAGCTAAATTCTCCATATTTATCTCATATAGTTCCTAAAGACGCATCACTTCATATGCTCGTATCCTATTTTCTTGACCAATGAAGTTTGTAACATCCAATGGTACAGTGTCCACCCAAAGATTATTATCATACACAGGTTCCCTCTTGTTACCAATTCTGATTCCAAGGTTCACTAGTGTTTCCTTTTTGGAGATGTTCAGTCTTTTCCAATCAATGTTGAAATTAGATTCCACAGAGGTTAGCTTTGTTCTAGATATATCAACGTATTATAGTAATGCTCGCTCAGCTTGTCCCCTAAGATTAAATCACTTTTCTTTATCAAATAGTTATATCGATCATAATCGTAGATCTCAGTTACAGTGCTTTTAGGGTTAATACCAAATCTACCGTATAGCGAGTTCATGAGTATCTTATAAACATAGGACATTGTGTCATTACCTGCTCTCTTAGCTTCTTGTCTTCTATCGAATATGTTGAAAACAAAGCTTTTGAAAGGGATGCTATTCTTCTTTTCAAACAAGTAGCTTGAAAGAGGAATGCTCTGGTAGCCTATGTCGCGTGCATACTTTAACTCTTCGCTATAATACACGTCCACGAACTTTCCGATTGGGAAGAGTAGAGTTTGATTCTTTTCATCCCGATAGGGTAGGAATGGTGGAGAGATAGTACGAGGACATACAACGTAGGCCTCAATAAAGCCAAACAAGTTGTCTAAATCCTGACCTTCTAACTTACCATGCCAGACAGTCTCACCCCTAGGCATTGTATAGGACTTCATAATATAGGGATATAAGGAGTTCACGTCGTAATAGTATAGATTATCACCGCAAGGTATATAAGCATCAGAATGGCCACCATAGTAACCACGACGAATGAAAGTGTCTTCGTTCCGATTTGGGATATAAATAGACCAGTTGTTTTGAACGTAATAGTTCGTACGAAAGATAGTGAGAGCTAGCGAAGACAAGGTCAATTTAGTCACGATATCTACATTGCATATAGTCCAATAAATCTCTAAAGCCTTCAGCATCACACCACCTAATAGAAGGATGTCCTATTTCATATACACTAACAATTGATGCTGGAGAGGGATTAGATTCGAGACTTGCACTTCGTCATGTTGGATGGTTCCTTTTGATCCTAATTGAGGAGAGAGATTTTTGGCTAAGTTATCAGGACTACTCGTGAGCAGTGTTAAGGAATCCCTTAGAAGGAATAGTCGCTTCTTACCAAGATAGACAGCTATCTGGTATAGCCTATGGTTCCTCATAAGAGGTTTGATGGCGTACTTATCTCCACGAGAAGCATAATATTTCAATAAGAGAATGCCATCAAATCGGGAGAGGTTGTGTAAGTAGACCGTTAGAATCGATGGATTGTGTCTAACAACAACAGCTAGACGTTCTATAAAGTCGAACAACATCTTATTGCTCCTTTCTTCAAAGGTTTTGAAGACAAAATCCGGGTAATCCTCACTGAAATATGTCTCAATGCCCTTCTCTGCTGAGGACAGATCATCACCTGGTCTAACCACTAAGAAACCCACAGCGTAAGGCACATGAATTTGATTTCAGAAAACTGTCTCAATATCAGCTACAATGAATGGCTGCCTTTGACTTTTATTAGGTTTGAGTGCTGTGAGATGCTTTAGATAACGAAGCTTACGATATCCTATCGTTCTCGCTTTTTTAGGTTCAACGACCACCTTGTTTTCGATGCATTCCCAGAGCTTGCTAGCAATCTTGTCATTGAAGATAAATGGCGTGGTACTACCCTTCATTTCAGAAAGATAGATTCGAATATTCATGCGAGATATCTCTTTATCATTGTAATCCTCTGCTTTCTTCCCGACAAGTTGATCAATCAAAGCATAGACTGGCAAATCTTTCCCATCCTCTCTAAAAGTGAGAGCATTACTAATCGTAAAGGAAACTTCTCCAAATGATATCCTCATGACATAACTAATAGTAAACTTCCCATAATCACACTTAGTAGTGTAAGCATACTTGATTAGTAGTCGCATAACAGCAAACAATATCAGATCACAGTCAATACATCTTAAAAATGGCATATTGAAATCAACTTTAGCATTTCTCAATCCTGGATAGGGATCCATGAAATCTTCATTTTTTCTTGACTTCAGTAAGCAGCCCCATAATACATCAAATAGTTCTTTTGTCATCATAAGTGTAAACAATAGTTATAATGATATTTTTTCCAATCATTTATATACGAAATGAAATCATTCCATTTTTCAAAACTATCACATTTTCCCATTTCTGTATTGTAATTGAATGTAGTATCTATATAGTATTCATAAGCAGCATATATACTATTTATCTTTTTATGCCAAATTAATTTCTTAGTATTATTTAAATCTTTGGTATTCTATCTTCTAAGATACCTTTAAGAAAATCAAGTGGAAGCGGGTTATCAAGGGGAGGTAGCGGAGCCTTATACAGTCTTACATCCATCAGATTTCGAATAAGAAAATGGTTTCTAATTAATAATGGGTAATTCGCATTAATATTAGAAATATATAAATTTGGGATGCGCATAGCGTAAGGCTGTAGTAATGAAATTATCGTGAACAGTGTAGATAGGAGCACCAATAGTTATCATGTTAGATATCATTAACATTGCTATATGAGCATCTTTCTGATGAATGAAGTTGGCAAAGGTAGCCGCACGAGTCTTCCTTTGATCCCGATCTTCTGTGGGAATTCGTAGACTCATTTGACGCCTTTTCTTGTGGATACGATCTAGAGAAGTAATTTGACTACTTTCATTTTCATATAGTCCTGTACTGTTGTGTATATAGATGTACTATAGAATACGGGTTTGCCCAAGGCGGAAGATAACCAACCAACATTATCAATTCCATTAGATTGACTATACCCGGAAATCTCTCTTGAAAGAAGTTATTCATGTGTAATGCTACTAGTGCGGATTCCCATCTACTTAATAAGTTTGAACTCTGAGTTCCATCACGATGATTAGTTATATAATGATTATAAATATCACCAGCCATGCTTTTTAAAGTCTTACCATATATCAATGGCATGAAGAGTACTTTGATTAATTTTCGAGTAAGACGAGGAACAACTACCTTAAATAGATTGGTATCCAATTTATTATGCAAGTAAACCTTAAGCTCTTCTAGAAAGAAGGTGTAAATATCATTGATCTTTTGATGATCATAAGAAGCGGGTATGAGATTTGTTTGTTTAGCTACTTCTTTATCTAACAAGAAAAAACTCATGAGCTGATAAGCACTTGCAGAGGCACCTTGAGTGATAGGAATTTTCATATGATCAGTCTTACCGCCTTCGATACATAGAACCTTGCTTATGAACTGATAGGGTTCTCTCGCAGCAATAGCAAAATGGATGAGACTTTCATCCGATGAATTAATCAAACTTTTCTGATCGAGATACCATTGATGAGGATCATCATAAGAAATGAACTTCTTATAATGAAAAGTTGCTGCTGAGCTTAATACCATATAAACATTATCCTTCTTTTCATCACTATCCAATTGAAAATTGTCTGAAGGTGTATTAGAAAAAACTATTAGACTTCTAGCCAAATCACGTTCATGGAAATGTAATATCCCAGAGCGATAGATTCTACCATGGAAGTCAAGGAAGGACGGCAGATAAAATCGATAACCTTCGTAGGCTGATACTAGATTTATTATGAAGGTTTCATAACGAGCACGTTGGATACGCTTCATGAACTCCTTAACCAAGTTTTGATAATTACAAACTTTCATCAAAGACGGATCCTCTACGTAAGACATTCTCAATAGGTCAATGGACTTTGATACATTTAATGAAGCTAGAAATTTAGGCATAAGTAGACCAGATTTCACTAATTGATCGTAATTCTGATTAATGAAGGTTAATACATCTTTGTTAATCTCAAAAGCATGCGACTGTAACTCGTTCATGATTCCGCTCAATATTGTGTAATCAGTTTCAAACTTAATATGGAAATGGAAGAAGTCACGGCTACTTAATAGTTGATAGCGATGTTGATAAAAATAACCAATAGGCATGCTTAAGTAACCGCCACGCATATCGGATAGAGATGAAGGGTTCTCACTTGAGGATGCCCAAGCCATAGGCTTACATACCATTGGTAGATTGAGCTTGATCGGAAGGATACTGAGATCAAAATTACATATAGCATAATAATTGATTGGTAAATAAAACTTACCTTTCTTCTTAACAACATAGAAATCATTAAAGTTCAATTCTTTTGAAAAAGAAATCAACTCTCTATTCACTAAGAATTCTACCAATAACACACCGAAAGAAAAATCTTTAGATTTTTTCTTCTTATCAAAATGAGATTTTCTTCTATCAGACGTCGAAGGATTTAAAGCTAGATGTCTTTCTTTCAGCATAATTGCTTGGCTCCTAACAGCCATAGTAAGATGGTCTATCAGAGTGGATACGCGAACTGCAGGGTTCTCCTGAATACAGTGGAACAGAGAACTAAGTACAACAATTATAATAGCTTCCAAAGACTGATCAAAGTAATTAAGATCATATATAAGATCATCAAAAAGGCCAGATTACTTAAGAAAATCCTTTGCTGTAGGTTGATTTTCAGAGATCAGTTTTTTGGATAAATAAAGAGTAGCCTGATATATACTTTTTATGTCACCAAATGTAGTAGTAAGATCCTCTATACGTAGTTGGAGTTGGATTAATTCATCTTCGGTCAATTTATCATTTTTATGATTATACAACAAATTAAGCACAACATCTTGATATTGAGACTCTTTCAACTCAAACTCAGAATAAAGATTATTATTATTCATGATTTTAGCATAGAAATTAGTCCAGAACTTATCCAGAGAGCTATCCCTAGTGGAATATGTTCGGATAGAATATATTCTAAATATAGGTTTATTCTTAATAAAAATCACTGTTGATTTTTTTTTTCAAGATTATTCTATGGTATGTGACGAGCGTAGGATGAGCTACGTTCATGCTAGCATTATCTCCCCTGTGCCTTACCTGGGATTTATGTATCCCCCTTTCTCTAAGGTTGATGAGTTGGACCTTAACCGATACTCTTATTAGAGTTCTCAACGTTGAGAAAGATCGACAAAGGTTCTACATTTTCAAGGGAGTCATCGTAGGGTTAAAGACTGTATATGTTATTTTCCCTATAGAGTCGATATAAGTGGTGGGAGACTTTTTTGTAGCCTTATCCACCACAGAAGCTAAGTGTGTGGCTGTTACTGAAGCTATTAAGGAGGCTTTCTGAAAGGTTTGTTAAGTGAGGAAAATAAAGTCATTAATCCAATTGTGGTTTATTCTAATTGTCAAAGTGCCATCCATTTATGTAAAAACTATGTTTCATGAAAGAACTAAGCATCTAGATGTTAGGATGCACTTTTTTAGAGACATAATCCAAAAAGAATCCATATTGCTTGAGAAAATGCCCACTAAATTTAATCCAGCTAAAATGGGGACCAAGGTACTTCCTCTCAACAAGTTTAAATCATGCTTACAAATGCTAAGAATTGTTACTGGATAATCTTTGTGATGCTGCAGGTACAATTAACTTGGTGCTGGTGATCATGGAGAAATTTATATCAAATGCTCTGAAAAGTTCATTGTTATGGTTTCTTCTTCTCTGATCATTAGCATCAAGGGAGAGATTTATTGGTCTTTGATGCCAAATTAAGTTTGGCTCAGTCCATTGGGCAATGATGAAATTGCGCTATGCTCATTTGCCGGCTTATTTATCCATTTCCTAATAACACTTAATGAAATGGGCCTAAACCCGGACCCAATCTTGGACGACACATGTGCTACTCTGGACCATTAGATCACCATACTGAAATCAACGGTGATAAAATGGCAGTATATATACCACATGAGTGGCTGCCCAACAGGATTTTTTACCTTTGATTTTGTTTGAGAAGCTTCTAGGTTTTCTCTTTGTTTCTTTGTGTCGCTTCTCATTCCTCCAGTTTTCTTCTTTGTGTACTTTGTGTAAATCCCTTAAACTTCTGGTTTTTTGCGTGTTAATCTGTTTGTTGAGTCTTTGTGATTCTTCAATTAATGGTTGAGAAGTTGAAATCAAAGTTAGGGTTGATTTTTGGTCCATTATAGTAGCTGTCTCTGTTCGATCTGTTTGGAGTTAGGTTTGTGGAGTTTTCATTTTGTACAGAAGAATACAATAATGTTCTAAGTTCAAAATAATCGAATCTTGATGCTAATGGTGAAAAAATTGGTGATTACGAAAAGAGATTAAAGTAATTGGAGGAGAAATATGCTCAACTTCATATTTGTTATACAGATTACATGTGTAGTTTATATACAAGAATTCACATAATTAATCCCACAAAAATAGCTAACTTAATTTAAATTCAAACTAAACACTCTCATAGCCAATATCCTTGGAACCCCTTTATCTTTCTGTTGTGATTTTATTTACACATTTCAGCAATGGTTATTTTTATATTCTATGGTCTTTTGTGTTATTTTGGGTTTGAGTTGTAACAATTTAGATAAAAATCCCGTGAAAGAATTTCTTTGAGAATTACCATCAATATAGAAATTAATTTTCTATAATTAATGTTTGACTATTTTGAAATATATCCTATCTAAAGACGTAAAAATGTTATATATCATATTCAATACAGGTATTACTCAAATCAAATTGGAGTGTACAAGTACTATCATGAGAATTGATACTTTGAAAATATTCTTCATGAATAATACACTTAACCTAAAATGTGACCTTGGAGGTTGATCAAAGAAGTAACAAGTCATTTTTATCATCAACAATATTCAACATATTTATTCACGCAATAGTGAGACCGATTGTGAGATTTGAACTGCTCCTCCCGTTGAATCGAACGAAAATCTCTCTTGGCTCCATGCATGTGTACTGGAGCATAATGATTGCCGTTAAATTGTTCTTTTGTGAAATAATAGTAGACTAGCTATCGCTTTTGAAATACGGTATCGACGCACTATGTGTAGAAATTGAAAGGAACTAAGTATTCAATTAAAAGTTTTACCAAATCCTTTCATATGCAAGCCAATCATCCATGTTGAAATCAAAGAGAAGAATAGAAGCGGAAGGATACCTTGATCCATGGATGTGACTGCTTGAACGGGTTATGGCCTTCCAATTGATACATAATTTTCTAGAAAATTCTTCTCTGTTGATGGAGATGCAGAGAAAATGAAAATCACATTCAATTGGGGACCACTACCATGATAAATAATTGTATATGGTAGTTATTATCTTTTAGTTATTTTAAATTGTCCTCTCATCAATTTAAAATAATCCATCCGATCTTTACACTTTTTTCCCATGACATTTATACCCATTATTCCAAAATTAAATTTAACGGATCACTTTATTGATTAACTTTAAAATAACACTACATATTTTAATATATATACATGTGTGGCCCCATACATTGAAATTTTTCCAACAATCTTCCATTGGGCCATACATGTAATATTATAAATGTGCACATCCTTATGAGCTCAAAATTTTGCTGTCGTTATCAAGGGTATTTCCAAACAATCTCGTCCATCAGTTATATTGATGTAGGATCAAAGCAATTTTCACATTCAGCGTAACTAAATCAATCAATGGTCACGTACATTCATACAACCAAATGACATAGATCAATTATGGGAGTGCTGCATGGAATTTACATGTTATGTGATCCAAACATGTCTATTTCCAACTAGTCCAACCTTATTTCTTAAGCGAGATCAATATTGAATATAATAACAGAGTGGAATGAACTGAATATTTTATTTCTGTATAGAAAACTGAATATTTTATTCTTGCATAGAAAATATCCAAATACACAAATATGTCTAAAAAAACTAAACATAATGAAATGAAAATACAAACTCCCACTAAAACATGATGTCCCCAAAAAATACAACACCCATATGTGCAGTGTGCTAAAAAAAACTTTGTGTGGGAAACCCTTCGTCCATCTTGCTATATTATTAGTGGTAAGCAGTATGTCATCAACATACAAAATCAGGAAAATATGCTTACTCCCATTGAACTTTTGATACACACAATCATCAACGACATTTCTCTCAAAACCAAATGAGATAATTACCTGATGAAATTTGTGGTACCATTGATGGGAAGCTTGCTTGATCCCATAGATGTATTTCTTTAATTTGCAAACAATATTCTTCGGGTCTTCTAACATAATTTTTTTTTGGTTACACCATGTAGATTGTCTCATTATTGTCGCCATTGAAAAACGCCGTCTTAATATCCAGCTGATGTAATTCAAGGTCAAAGTGAGCAACAAGTGCCATAATTGTCTATAAAGAGTCTTTCATTAAAACTGGAGAGAAAGTCTTTTCAAAGTTGATGTCTTCCTTTTGGGTAAAGCTTTTAACCACAAGACGAGCCTTATATCTTTCTACATTACCTTTCAAATTCCTCTTAGTTTTAAAAATTCATTTGCAATCAATGGGCTTCACACCTTCAGGTAACAGGATAAGATCCCAAACTTTATTGTCTTGCATAGACTTATACTCCTCATTCATGGCATCAATCCATTTTTGTGAGTTAGAACCTTGCATGGCATGATGGAAATTGATTGGATCATTTTCCACCATTCCATTATTTTTCTCATGTTCTTGGAGAAATATTAAAATCATCCGAAATAGCATTTTTCCTTTCTCTCGTTTATCTCCTTAATGATATTGGTTCTTGAGGTTGTTGAGTTTGTACTTCTGGAATAATTACCTTATTTTGGATGGGAGGTTCTTTAGCATTGTCTTGTTGAGGTTCTGGATATACTTCTTGATCAATGATAGGTATAGAAACCTGTATATTATCAAAAGTATTCGTAGGAATCGAAACCAATCATTACTCAACTTCTTCCTCAAAGACAATGTTCCTAACTTTATTTCTCCCGCCAAACTCAACATTTTCAAAAAAATGCTGCAGTTCCCATATAAAAAATTGACTTAAATGTGAGATCATAAAATTTATAATCCCTAGATCACTCAGAATAACCAATAAAATAGCTGTTCATAGTTTTGGAGTCCAATTTATTTTCATGTGGCCCATAAGGCCTAGCCTCAGTTGGACATCTCCAAATGTGAAAATGTTTTAAACTAGGCTTTCTGATGGTCCAAAGCTCATAGGGTGTTTTGGCAGCATCTTTAGTTGGTACTCTATTCGAAATATAAGTTGCGGTCTTTAATGCTTCTCCCCAGAGTGATTTTGGTAAGTTGGAATGACTAATAATACTCTTTACCATATCCTTAAGAGTTTTGTTTCGTCTATTAGTGACACCATTCATGCATGGTGACCCTAGCAGGTGTATTGTGGGATGATTTTACATTCCTTTAGAAATTTAACAAATGGTCCTGGACATTGTTTACTTGAACTGTCAAATCTGCCGTAGACCTCACCACCAAGGTTAGACTTAACGCTCTTTATCCTTCTGTTGAGTTGATTCTCAACCTCAATTTTAAAATCTTTGAACACATCCTGTGACTCAAACTTTTTATGAATAAGATATAGGTACCCATAATGTGAGTAATCGTCTATGAATGATATAAAATATTGTTGACCATTCCAAGAAACAGTAGGGAATGGTCCACAAATATCTGTGCGTATCAATTCTGGGACATTCGAAGTTCTATTAGCATCTAATCTCCTTGTATTAATCTGTTTTCCCTTGATACAATTAATACATACATCAAAATCCATGAACTCAATGGAATCCAAAATATCATCTGACACAAGTCGTTCAACTCTAACTTTTGAGATATGACCTAAGAGCTTTTACCATAACTTTGTCGAATTTTCTTTATTTAATTTGTGTTTAGCACCATGCGATTCCACATGTAAGTTTCATTATATGATGCAATAATATCAAGAAAATATAGGTTATCATATGTACATAATGAATCGGTAACAATAGCATTGGAATTTAATGAAAGACAAAACTGATTGTTTCCAAATGAACAATAGTATCCAGATTTGTCCAACGAAGAAGCAGAAATTGAATTCCATCTAAAAGACGGTACAACAAAGTTGTTTTTCAAATCCAAATAATGACTAGTTCTTAACAACAACCTAAAAATGCCTATTTAATCAATTCCCTCCGATTTCTCATCGCCCACATAGATGTATCTTTCACCGTTGGCCTTCGGTAGCTCAGATAGCCTTACATAGAAACACTTATGTGAGTAGTAGCACCAGAATCTATCCACCAATTGTTTCTAGGTACTGAAACTAAATTATCCTCAAAATAGGTCAAAGTAAGAATTATACCTTTTTTTGCACGCCAATCAAGATATTTGGTACAGTCCTTCTTCACGTATCCAGTCTTATTGTAAAAGAAACAAGTCCCTTTGTCTTTCTTCCATTTCTTTTGTGTTGGGCCTTTTAGAGCAGGTTAATATTCAATCTTCTTTTTCTTACCCTTGTCCTTAGAAGTGCTTGCCAAGTGAGCGCTTTCAATTCTTTCTTCCTCTTGCACACAATATGAAATGAGCTCATTTAGAGACCATTTCTCCTTCTAGCAATTATAACTAACCTTAAATTGACTGAACTATGCAGGAAGCGAGATCAATACCTTTTAAGTTTAGTAGCAATGTGAGACATCTCCATGATGTACCCCCTTATGTTCCCGTTACCTTTATACATCATTGAAATTAAGCTTCGTAAAAGTGTGCGTGTTTCAATCTTATCGTTTTTTTACAAAACACTTCTCATTTTCGACAAGGAACTCCTTGGCGTTAGTCACCCATTCGGATACTGAACCTCTAAAGGCTTCCGAAATGCCGCTCTTAATGATCACTAGATTCATGCAATTTAAGTGATCCCGCTTCATAAAGTTCCTCTTTTTATTAGGTGAACTTTCTTCCATAAGAGGAGTGGGTTCCTCAATCCGGAGCGCAAGGTCTAGATCCATGCAGCCAAGAACAATCAATATGTTCTCTTTCCAATCCTTGATGTTTGTCCCAATAAGCTTGGGAATTGAATTAACATTGGCAGATATAGTAGTAGCAGATTAATTAGCTGTACAGAGAGTAAAAATAAACAAATAGTCATACTCATATCAAGTCTTTGGACAGTAATATTAATTGTAAGTGGTATGCTCGGTGTAGTGATCAAATATTGACAATAACCCCTGTCAAATAATAAATCTATCTTTGAATTGATTTATTATTCACATGGAAATAATATAATTGTCATACATTCACCACCACAAGTGTGTATGTAATTCGAATAAATATTAACCTTCCTTTGGGACGGCTAATACCCGCAAGAACAAGCACACACACAACATCTAAACATCCAAAACAAACCAATCTACACAGCAGAGCTCACTTTGGTGACATATTGTTTCAATTAGTTTATATAAAATGCTAGATAATCTTAATTTATCATAAATGATTTCTCAAAATATTCAAATTTGATTGTCCCATATAATTAAGTCTCAATATACCTCTCAAAAGAGTCCTTAGTACCAAAATTTGAGAAAGACAATCACAGATTTTGCATCATTAGATGTCTTTTGAAACTTTAGGGCCTAAGGGTTAATAATTCAAAACTTTAGGGGTCAAAATTTGAAAAAAATTAAAACTTTGGGGCCAATTTGAATTAATTATAAACATTGAGGGCTTTAATTGTAAAATTTAGAACTTTAATGGCCCAAATTAAATAATTTTCAAACTTCAGGGATTGAATTATTAAATCCAAAACTTTAAAATCTACAACCCTAAACCTAATCTTTATTTCAAGCAAGGGCATGAGATTATCAAAATTGCACTTCGGGCCCTCTCCCCCTAAAATCCATCCCTGATCTCTCTCCCTAACGTCGTCGGCGGCTGGTGCCACCTAGGAGCAACAACGCTAGCCCATGCCGGCGCCACTACAACGGATTTTTTCAATTTTTTTTTGAACCCAAAAAATTCGAAAAACAAAAATTTCAAAACTCTAATTCAAATCTAGGAAGATAACCTAAGAATAATATGTCAAAAGATTTTCAAATTCAACAAAAACAGATCTAAAATTGTCAAATTTGAAAATTTTGAAAATATTGCAAAAACTAAATTCCATATAATCACATGATAGAAGATCAAATAACCCGAAATATAGAATTGTTAAAACCTTGATTTCTCAAAGATTCAACAATGGAGTGCTTGATACAACTCACAGAAGTTGAAAGGAACTGAGGGCCTGTTTGATAGATTCTATTTTCCACCATTTTAGTATGTTTGATAGCCAAAAGTTCCATGGAACCCCCATGTGACCTATTTTTCTTGCTTTTTAAGGAAAATCAATTCCTTTGGTTTTGTTAAGAATTGGGTTTTCCATCTTCTATATTTTTTAATTTTTTTGGGCAATGGAAATAAATTCTATCCACAATTGTAACAAATTCTATCCCTTTAATTGACAATTTTCATGAAAAACAAAACCAAACGAACACCAAAAGATCCAAAATTTCAACACTTTCCAGATGAAAAATGATATCAATCAAACACATTTAATTGACAATTTTCAATAAAACAAGTTCTAGACAATTCAATTCCTCGGAATTCGTTTTCTTTCCACCTAAATTCCATTCTTGCAATCAAACGTGCCCTAAGTTTTCAATTAAAACTTTTACCAAACCCTTTCATAAGCATGTAAATCCTCTATGTTGAATAGAAGCGGAAGCATACCTTGATCCATGGATGTGACTGTTTGAACGGGTTATGATTTTCCAATTGATACATAATTTCCTAGAAAATTTTTCTCTGTTGATGGGGATGCAGAGTAAATGAAAATCACGTTCAATTGCGGACCATGACCATGACAAATAATTGTATATGGCAGTTATTATCCTTAGTTATTATAAATTGGCCCATCATCAATTTAAAATAATCCTTCAGGTCTCTATACTTTATTTCCATAACATTTTAATACCTATTAGTACAAATTAAATTTAATAGATCACTTTATTGTTTAAACTTCAAAATAGCACCACACATTTTAATATATATATACATATATTTTTGGGTGGTTAATTACATATTAGGACACGAGGTATGAAATCTGATTGATCATGGTATTGGAAAAATTTCAAACGTATGGGGCTACACATGTGTTTATATTGGAAACATATATACACATGTGTTGCCCCATACGTTTGAAATTTTTCCAATACCATGATCAATCAGATTTCGTATCTCGTGTCCTAATATATAATTAACCACCCAAAAATATATACACATGTGTGGTCCCATACGTTTGAAATTTTTCCAATACCATGATAAATCAGATTTCATACCTCGTGTCCTAATATATAATTAACCATTCGAAAATGCAGGGCAATGGAACCCTTTTCGTGGCCACCCAAATTAAGGCATTATTGGATCCTTTAAAAAAGAAAATTAATTTTGAATTAGACTGATAAAAATACAACTTTAATTAACCTCCAAATAAAATATAACGGTTGAACTTTAATAGAAAATGGGTAATTTGATCAACAATCCATTAGTAAATACCAGTAATTAGTTATTACCTTAATTTTATAACCCCATTGTTGGGACTTTAATTTGATTTTGTTGGTATTTAAGGGCCCGTTTGGTAGGAATTTTGAGAATTGATTTTTTGACCGTTAGAAGAAAAGTGGAGACCATATGTGAGTGAAAAAGTAAAAAATGACGCTTGTAATAGTGAATAACGGTCAAAAAATCAAATTTTTGGAGTGAAAAAATCCCTACCAAACGGGACCTAAGTTTACAATTTGATATTTAGGGTGTATTTGATTATATTTATTTTCCATGGAAAATATTAATTTTTCATCCAAATTCCTACTTTGGGCGTTTGATTGTTATTTTTTTCCATTGAAAATATTTTTTAACTTTTGGAAATATCATAATTTTCCTTGTTTTTAAGGAAAATATTTTCTTTGGTGGAAGGTGGTTTTTGTTTTTTTCAAAACAAGGAAAATATTTTCTTTTTTAAGTGATATTTTTTATGTCAATCAAACATACTCTTATAGTTTTTTTTCTTACAAATAAAGTACGAAAATATTTTACAACTATTGAACTAATGATGATGAAATAAATAGGAAAAAATATACAAGGTCAAAACATGGTTCAAAACCAATTTAGGTTTCAATCGCAAACAAGTTTAAATGATTTGATTTAGGTTAGGGCTTTTCTTAAACCATTTAAAATTTTTTGGTTTGAAAATTTGTCAAAGATTATTCAAATTGGATTGCTAACACCCCTAGAATTATTGAGATTTTACTTCTATTTAAATTCCGTAGAATGTTATAAATCTATTAGGGACTTTTGAAAAAGAGTACAGATTGTCAGATGGAAAATTGAGTATTCTTGGTGTATCTGTATTCAGAAGTCTAAATTCTCCGTACTCTGCACGAATCATTGTGTTTGGTAGCTAATTTCTGATATTCATGATTGAATTGATAAGTGCTTAAATGTTATTCGTGAATTTAGAGATAAGTCACTTCCATAAGGGTTTTAGTAACTCAATTATGGTCACCTAAGTTTTGTACACCAGGATGACGACAAAACCTTGCTTTTGATGTTTTAACCTTAATTTCTCCTTTTTGACATTAAGTGCTTGTTTGATGGAATGATATCTATTTACTTAACACTTTAAAACACTTGATTACTATTTAATTCGTTTTGTAACGTTCATTTAGGCTAAGTGGTTGAATCATTGTAATGTTCAATAGAGGATATTATATAATGTTATGCTTTGCATGATCCTTCATTGCATATTCTAGTTTTTTCTGTTCTTTTACATGCTCATATCCTTCTAGCTGTATGTGAACTTGATTTTAAATCTGCTTTGAGAGATGATTAAAGCCCAGTCCAAGTTACGAGAAGATCATTTTGAGCATTAGAGTCGAGTAGAGCTCAATTCAAGAGAGTACTTGGCTAACATGACACCCAAGACAGCAATATTGACAAAGGACTCAGCCTAGATGGAGTTCAGTGTAACAAAACCACATTCCACATGGTCAGGGAATAATTTCACATCAAATAAAGATGACATAAATGACCAATATGTGGGTTAGGAAAATTCTTCTTAATAAGATTAACGTTTAAGATGAAATCCAAAGTTTTAAATTTTAATATGATATTGGAGTATATTAAACTTCAATGAGCAATTCTATCCGACTAAGATTCAAAATGAGCATATAAATTATAAAATTGGTGTACTTAAACAAGCCATCATCTTGTAAGTGCATGTGTTAGTCCCTTTTTCAAGAAATTGGACATAGCAGAGGCTGCTTGCCCGATGGCAATGCCACGAGCGGATATTTGGTAAACATGAAAGCAAGGCAGCATATTGGTATGAATGAAGCACGTGGTGCATGCATTTGGTGGAAAAAGGAAAAAGAAGGCATGCAATGCTGATTTACGTAATAATAATATTACATGGGCCAAATTAGCTGAAGTTAGATCATGAAGGCATCATGCATCAATTTCGACTATCGGTGCAGGCACTGCTTGTTAAACATCAATAGATTTTACAAACCATTTTCATAGTCATGACATGTGTAGAATAATAATAATAAAATAAAACATACTTTCAATAGTTGGTAAAGCTTGATTAGAAGCCATGGGAGATCAATGAGAAACTCTTGCAATTGAGATTCAAATTTACAGAGGACATTACACGACTTACCATGCTTTGTTCCCGTGGGTCCATTCTTCTATCTTAACCAAATGTCAATTCATAGTGAAAAAACCGATTGAGACAAAACCGTTTATGAAACGATAACCGGCCAGTTTTAACCAAAAATCATGAACCGGTTACAATTTATGCGGGTTTGTCGAATCATTTTTTGAGGAAAAAAATTAAGAATAAGGTGAATACTGTCCATACCATTTTTCCGATCAATTAAAATCACAGCAACTCTAATAAATGAAAAATCTAATTACAAAGGTAGTAAAAAATTGTAATTTATTAAACTTAACTTCAAAACTGAATTTAGCTCAAGTATTTTAAAATGTGTATATATATTCCATTACATTTTTCCTTTACCCACAAAACCCAAAACCATGTGTTACTTATTACTTTTGTGACTTGGTTCTAAATTTAAGATCAACCCCATTAATCAAACAATGAATGGAGTAATCAAAGTTAATTTTATTGTTACAATATAGAGAAATGATCTAATGAGCATCGGTGTTTGTCTTATACTAAACATCGGTGATGTGTTGTATTAATTTATTGATAGATAATAAATTTAATTCAAATATTACTACTCACAAAATCTTTATTCACCAATGAGTTAATGCGACATATCATCGATACTTAGTATAAGATGAGCATTGGTGCTCATTAAATCACTCTATCATATTGTATAATGTATTATAAAGTCGATTGACAAACAAAAAGTTATAGATAAATATTTGAGGATTAATTTCACAATGTGTGCATAAACATTCGAAACTAAGCAAGTGAAGGTTAAGATGATCAGCCATGAAGACTTTGGTAACAAAGGTGTTGGTTGAACTTTGTTTGAAGAATGCAAAGCCCAAAACTCCTCTCTATTGCGTCTCACTCATAACCCGTTAATCATTCATAACTTTGTTTGAAGAATGCAAAGCCCAAAACTCCCCCGACCATTGATTTGATCGTCGGAGTGCAAATAGTCGTTGTCCATTTTTTCTCAATCCATGGCCTTTCTCTTCTAATGGGATATTTAGTCTGCAGATGTCTATATGGAGGAGACGAGATCGAGATTCTATTGGAGCATTTTTTAAGGTCAACACATACTACGCTAAACTTCATTGGATTGGCTGACTATTACGAGAAACCTCAGTGCTAACGCACAACGTGATTGAAATTTTCGACCACACCTATGGCAAATAGTATAGAGAAATACTAACCGTGAAGATGTTGATCATACTCTTCTAGAATAGAATGCGCATAAACACTCGTGTGTAACTATGTTATAAGTAAATAAGTTTCCCTTCTCCTTTGCTAGGACAAGGTTACAAATCAGGATATGCACCTTGAAGACCAACATTTGTTTAGCAACAAATAATGACCCACTTGGCTAAAAACTCAAATACTTCGTACTACCCATTAATTTCAAAGCAACTGTATCTCTTAGAAAAAAGCAGTGTAAATAAATTTAGCCTTTTTTAATTTTCCCGAAGAAAACTTAATTTATCCACGTTTAATGACACCTGTTGAGGAATATTCAACCAAGCTATGGTTTAGACAGTTTCCAGCCGTTAAAGTGGGGTTATATTTGAATCTCCAAACTCCACGTTTGATATTGACATCTGTTGAGGACTTTTTCTAACTGTGATAAATTTAATTTTGTTAAATTTTGTGGATGTGGTTACCAAAAATGCACGTTACATACATACATACATGCATATATATATATATATATATATATATATATATATATATATATAAGTATTTTCCATTCTTTGATTTCTTCCTTATCGGAAACCTGTATTTGATTCAATCAAATTGGATTTTATCTCTCTCTCTCTCTCTTTTTTTTCCTTTTTTTTTTAGATACAAAAAATCCCCTCTATATATAGATATATTGCTATAGAAACACATAATTGAAACAGCTTTTTGAGATTTCATATTCCGTAAACTTACAAATACTTATTTTTATCGAAGAATTTATACAATATATCATGCACAGTATGGTGAGTACTCCAGTTGAAGTAAGAAAAGGTTCATGGACTGAAGAAGAAGATAACCTTCTCAGGAAATGCATTGACAAGTATGGAGAAGGAAAATGGCATCAAGTTCCTCTCAGAGCAGGTAAATATTTCCTTGGCAGTTGGCATATCGTGTGCAAGCGTGCACCCAAACACTGGACGAGATAAAACAGTTGTGCTACATGTATATTATAGTTTTCATATAAATGATGTTGGGAGATATGATTGGATCGGAGTTTTTTCTTTAAAAAAAAAAAAAAATATATATCCTTCACCCCTCTCTTCTTGACACCTCATTTTTATGTAAACCATTATATAACTTAATTATATACAAGTAGCATTATTTGAGATAAAATTATTGAGACTTCGTTTTGAAGATTTATGTTTGGTGTTTCTAGGGTTGAACAGATGCAGGAAAAGCTGTAGGCTGAGGTGGTTAAACTATCTGAGTCCAAATATCAAAAGAGGTGACTTTACACCAGATGAAGATGATCTCATTATAAGGCTTCATAACCTGTTAGGCAACAGGCAAGTTCAAGAACAAAATTTCAGCATAAGATCATTATGTTCGTTGTTTGTCAGGTCGATAATTTTATTTCGGTTACTATTATATGAGCAATGCAAGAGAGAAGAGTGCTATGAATCTTAAGTTTTAGGAAGTCTTTCAGTAAACTAAGCTAAGTTTTTATTAGTCCAAAAATGGGAATAATATTTCAATGGCTTTTTTAGTTCCATAATACCTTATTAGAAAACTATTATGATGTTGGTTCGGAACCCTTAAAAGACATATGAAAAAGAGAGTAAATGCATAACATGTTTGATTGTATTTAAAATATTTTTGTTCAAAAGATGGTTTGTTAGTAATTTACAAAACTTTGAAACCTATGTTTCTCAAAATAAGTAACTTAAAAGTAATTTTTTTATTTTTATTTTTAAGCATAGCCAAAAATAAATTAAGAAAGAAAACAAATATCAAACATAATGTATACTGTAGTGTAGCTTGACTTTTAATGGCCTATGCCCCTCCATGTTGATGCAGATGGTCACTGATTTCCGGTAGACTTCCAGGAAGAACAGCCAACGACGTGAAAAACCATTGGAACTCCCATGTGCAGAAGAAGGTATTGGCTCAAGACGAGGCTACGAGGAAAGCCCAGAAAACCACCAAAACCACAATCTTGAAACCTCGACCTCGTACTTTCAAAAGAATTGCACCTTTTTCGTCGAGAGAAAACATAACTTTCGAACCAAATATTTCAGTAACGGATCAAAATTTAGACACTCCATCTCCTTCATCGTCAAAACCAGTAGATGATGAATGCTCCCAATGGTGGAGTAACTTGCTTGATTCTGTTAAAATTGATGGAGAACCTGAGCCAGGATCCAATGCAATATCTCTTGACAAGGACATTTGGGAACTTTTTGAGTTCTGAAAACAATATAAATGCGGTAGAAACCATTTTTGATTTTTCCATTTTGCTGTGTCTATTACTTTCTAGAAATAGTAAGAAAAATTATTTGAAGGACATAGACACGTGGATTTAATTAGTATGTTTGATTGATATGATTTGAAATATTCCGCGAAACCCTTCTTATTTGTTCAAATGTGGACCATTTTTAATAAATAATGCAGACATATTCTCAAAATCTAGTCAACTTGACAAACTTTACGGACTCATCAATTTATTTGATTTGTTTGCATTAAAGTACTACATAAATCTTTCGTCGTAGATCCTCCTTCAAAGCGTGTTTGACAGGTGTCATTTTAGTTACTTCTGGTCAAATTACTTTTCGGGAAGTACTACATGTACATAATTGTCTACATAATGGTGTCCATAATTACACATGGCACGAGATCCAACCTTTAATTCAAATATCACATTTGTACATCAACAATTGAATGATTGTCACATCACATTATGAATATCATTATATGCAATAATTATGTACAAGTAGATTTTCCTTACTTTTCATGAAAACTTTTAATTTTTAATTTTAAAATTTTTATTTTGGGTAATACTCCTCTCTAGAATAGAAATCTTATTTTAGAGGAGTGTCCCATCCTGCAGAAGCCATTTCCACCATTTACTTGTGCCGGTTTTCTTTTCACCTTCATCGATGTCATCCATTGAAACTGACATACTTCTACTGCAAGACATTCATGAGTCATCAACATAACACATCATTCTATGAACCCTATCGGCTGTTGGCTTGGCTAAGGCTTAGGGATGACATATATCATAGTTTAGGCCTACCAAGTGGCCTATAAGAATGAATTATGCTATGTGTACAGGGTTGTACGTTACAGGAGGATGGGGGGAAGATAAAGGTCTTGTCCCCTTATAATGCCGGTACAAATAGAAAAATCCTATTTGGATGTATTGGCTTGTATTGATCTCTAGAGCATTATCAGCATAATTGTCAAGTCCTGAAACTTTATTTTGATATCTCTAGGGCTAACTATTAACCCTTTGTAATGAAGGAGTGAAATGCTATATGAAGAAGCCTGGGGTTTCCACCAAATTACAATTGAAGGGAGTGAAATGCTATATGAAGAAGCCATGTTTTCTACTGTTTTGAGAGTTGTTCCAATGCTCATCCAGGTTGTTAATCAAGTAATAATTCTACATTAATCACCATTAAACGTTGTCGAAAGACCCATGTAATATCCATTAGATTTTTGACATTACCCAGAAATTTGATGTAGTACAATGAAGGCAAAGATAACTGCTAATTCTACATGATAGATATGCTTAGTATATATTACTTTACATTTAAGTTTACTTGGCTAATCATTGGACCGAAGAAGCAAACACAGACTTGCTAGTGCGAGCCAATCAATGTATCTCACATCATCATTCGTATCAAATTTGGTTCCACTTTCTGTTTCATTATTTTGGCCTGTGTTTTGCTAGGGCTTAAGAATTTTTTCAAATATAATCCTTATTTAGTCATTTTATTTATTTTTCAATAAAACTGATGTGGGATCTCCAATTTGCTAGCTTATATTTTTGTGAATTAGTGGAAAATGCTCTAGGCGATCCATCTCATGTAAAATAAATACGAACTCGATCTCGTAAATTGAAGACTCAATAATAAATAGGTTTTGTACATCGTGATACATATCTTATACTATATATTCGCAGATACAAGAAGTGCAGCAACACCGTCTTCTTTACTCCCGAACCATTTTCAAGTCCATGGATCTTGGTCAGTCCTGAAAAACTCACTAAAATAACAAATAATGAGAAATGTCGGATTCATAACTGCATTTCAATTAAAAAAAAAAAAAAGGTTGGCTAACTTTGACTACAAACCATATAGTGAGTTAATTGATTGCCTCGTAACAATAGTTTGGTAACGCCTGTTAAAATGCAAATTTCCTTTTTGATAAGAGCAAAAATTCACTAATCTTTGTAATCATTTATCTAGATGTTGTAAAACAAGTCAACATAGCATTGAGCTATTATAAAAGAAATATAAACTGATGAAACACATGAAGGGAAAAATTTTCTTACCGACACAAAGTGTTGAATTTTGGCTTCTGATAACTATTTATGATATGCTTGTATTGAGTTTTGAAGACAAATGTAATATAAAGTATGAGGATTTAGTGTAGAAGGAGATGAAATATCGGTGAAATAAAAGAACCATTGGTTCGTTTTAAATTTGAATTAGATTTATTGTGATATATTATTTTTGTAATTGAAAGAGCATCCATATTTTTTTTTTCTATTTTTTAACTTATTTTATTAGTTTTTAAGTTTTGATAAGGGTATTTTAATTTATTTTTTCTATTAATGCTAGTTAGAGCTACAATTTCAACACTTTTAAAAGAATAATAATTTTCTCGATGTCTTTAATGTACAATTTCTACCATCGATGTTGAATCTAGCATCTATGGATTATTTTTAATAAAATTCTAAAGTCAACAACACTATTTAAGTTTCAGATGCTCAAACACAACCACATAATCAAGAAGGCTTAGCTGATTTTTTTTTTTAAAATTTTATTTCGTTAAAAGTAAATTTCAAATTCACATTTATTGCAATCACATGATTAAGATATAATCAGTGGCATAAAAATATCCATCTACCAAAATTCAATTTCTTCCTGAAACCATGGGATGAGGCCTGACTAATAGAAGATACCACAACATCAAATATAAACTAATTACCATCTCCTATAATTATGAATTTTAATAAAAGATTTAACCTTGTTTAACAATAACCTCAATGTTTTCTGACGTGGTCTAAACTTGCACACATAAAATCTATTACAAGAAATTTAATCTCTACTCCAAGAAATGAAGCCAAATACAACTACATAATTTAGCCCACCAATCCTTCCAAGAACTCAATTTTCACTCAGAGTCTTTACAAGAAATTGACGCTTTAATCACATCTCATACAATTAGCACTAATTCTTAAAAAATGATTTAATCTTTCGAACCCAGCACTGGCCACGGCATCACTTTGCATGGACAGTACTATTGCATTAACAGGCATGAGGAAAGCTACATGATGAATGCCAAAGGTATAAAACTTTGAAAACTTCTAAGGGGTTCGTGATTCCCTCCTATTTATTCTGATCAACTGAAGAAAAGATTAACTGATGTTATTTAAATAGGCATAGAAAATCAAAATTATGAATTTTCAGTCCATGGAGCTACTATGGGATCGACATATTTTAAATTCTCAGCTTGCTAAAAAAAGATCATAATAAGCAAAAAACATACACAATGACTTTCCTATCAAAATCATAACAAGAATTGTCTACATACAAATCACAAATACGACTTTAGATTGTTGGAAAAATTGGGTGATTTGTATGTAGATTTATTTATAAATTAGCATAATCAATTAATTGATATAAACATAATTCAAGAATAATATATAAATAAGAAGAGGGTTAGAGAAAAAAAAAAAGCTTTGGCAGTCACATCGACGACGCTGTCCTAAAGTTGTATTGCCTACCTTTCGTGCGGGTTATATTGACACTACATGACTTCAAAATAAAATCCATGTGGCTCGACTTTTATGGGCATGACCACAAGGAGATAAGTGAATGAGCGTTTATCGAGATACCAAAAGTATAATATAAAATTATAGAAAAGATAATGCTTCAAGTGGTTCTCTCAAATTATAGAAATGACTCATTTATATAGTGTAAAACTTTAACCCCCACACTAATGAAAATTATCCCAATTAACATATAAGTTATCATGTGAATTATGGTCTTTTAATTTTATGTTAAAACTAAAAATTAGTAGGTGTTAATTTGAAAGGTTGAAACTTATTTCAAGTTACAACAACACCTATCATTTATGCAACAAGTTATAATAGACATGTTACACTATAATATTATTAATTTAATTTTGTATTAAATTGAAATTAAAATAGAAACAACAAATTATTAATTTGAAAATGTAGAACTTAAATTATTTATTTTCCAACATATTCAATGTCTTTTGTATGAGTATTCTTTGGTTTTTAGAGAAATAAAGCTGGGTGGTTCATATAATTCTTGTCCGTCGTGCTTTTCGTCTTTCTATTTTAGTGAAAATCTGCTTGTTTTGTTAAAGCAAATGCATACGACGCTAAACTTCGTGGGATTGGTTGACTATGGCAAGGAATCTCAATGTTGATGCATAGAGTGACTGAAATCTTCGACTGCTCCAACAACAACTAGAATAGAAAAATACTAACCGTGAAGATTTTGATCATACTCTTCAAAAATAGAATGCGCACGGACACTTGTGTGTAACGATGTTATAAGTAAATAAGTTTCCCTTCTCCTTTGCAAAGACAAGGTTAAAAACTTAAAAATCAAGATATGCATTTTGAAGACCAACATTTGTTTTAGCAACAATAAATGCAGCTTTTCCAGTGTTTCTTCTTTATGCCTTATCACCGCTAAAACTAATGAACACATGATTCAAGAATAGTGTTTCTTACCAAATAGTAGCTTCTCAATAATAACCCATTAGCTTCAAAGCTCTTGTATCTCTTAGAAAAAAGCAGAGTAAATAAACTTAGCCAATTTTTTTTATTATTTTATTTATTATTATTATTATTATTATTATTATTATTATTATTATTATTTTTTGGAGAAAACTTATTTTATCCACGTTTAATGACAGCTGTTGAGGAATTTTTATATTAAGCTATGGTTTAGACGGTTTCCAGCCTTTAAAGTGGGGCTTATATTTGAATCTCCAAACTCCACGTTTGTTATGATACCTATTGAGGACTTTTTCTAGCTGTGATAAATTTCTTTTGTTAAATTTTGTTGAATGTGGTTACCAAAAATGCACGTGACATAAATATATATGTGGATATCTGGTACTCTGGAATAGATACAAAAAATTCCCTATAAATGGATATATTGCTATAGAGACACCTAATTGAAACAGGTTTTTGAGATTTTATACTCCGTAGACTTACACGTACTTATTTTTATTGAAGAATTTATACAATATTATCATGCACAGTATGGTGAGTACTCCAGTTGAAGTAAGAAAAGGTTCATGGACTGAAGAAGAAGATAACATTCTCAGCAAATGCATTGACAAGTTTGGAGAAGGAAAATGGCATCAAGTTCCTGTCAGAGCAGGTAAATATTTCCTTGGCATAACGCATGCAAACATGCACCCAGACACTGGATGATATAAAACGATTGTACTACATGTACATAATAGTTTTCATAAAAGTGATGATGTGAGATATAATTGGATCAAAATTTCTTTAAAAAAAAAAGTACACCCTTCCCCCTCTCTTCTTGACATTTCATTTATATGTAAATCATTATGTAATTTAATTATGTACAAATAACATTAGGGTTGTACTTGATGTACACAATTTGGATATACAGGGGTGTGGACGCACCTCACACGGGATGGGACCCGCACGAGGTGGGCCCTACCTCATGCAAGGGGTGTGGACACCCCTATGTACATATTTTATGTACACCAAAACTTATTCAAACTATTGAGACTTTGTTTTAAAGATTTATGTTTGGTGTTCGTAGGGTTGAACAAATGCAAGAAAAGCTGTAGGCTGAGATGGTTAAACTATCTGAGACCAAATATCAAAAGAGGTGACTTTACACCAGATGAAGATGATCTCATTATAAGGCTTCATAAACTGTTAGGCAACAGGCAAGTTCAAGAACACAATTTCAGCATAAAATCATTCTGTTCGTTGTTTGTCAGGTCAATAATTTTATTTCGGTTACTACTGTATGAGCAATGCAAGCGAGAAGAGTGCTATGAAGCTTAAGTTTTAGGAAGTCTTTCGGTAAACTAAGCTAAGTTTATATTAGTCCAAAAATGGGAGTAATATTTCAATGGCTTTTTAGTTCCATAACACCTTATTAGAAAACTATTATGGTGTTGGTTCCAAACCCTCAGAAGACACAAAAAATAAAAATAAATAAAAATAAATAAATAAAAATAAAATAAAAGTTAAAAAAAAGAAGAAGAAGAGAGTAAATGCTTGAGTTCCAACAAGCCTATGCATAACATGTTGGTATTTAAATTTTTTTTGTTCAAAAGTGTGTTTTGTTAGTAAATTATAAACTTCGAGACCTATGTTTCTCAAAATAAGTAACTTAAAAGTAAATTTATTTTTATTTTTTATTTTAAAGCATAACCAAAGATGAATTAAGAAAGAAAACAGATATTAAACATAATGTTTAATGTAGTGTTCAATCTTGTTAAACCAATCCTAAAAGTTGTAGCTTGACTTTTAATGGCCTATGCCTCTCCATGTTGATGCAGATGGTCACTGATTTCCGGTAGACTTCCCGAAAGTATAGCCAATGACGTGAAAAACCATTGGAACTCCCATGTGCAAAAGTGTTGGAGGAAAGATGAGTATACTAACTTGGATTGGCTAAGGTTTTTAAGAGGACAACGCTAATAAGAAGAAGGAAGTGAAAAAAGGAAACTTGTATTTCTCAAATTCAAGACTTTATACACCTTTTGGCTTGTTACAAAATGAAGGGCACTACCCCTTTATATAGTGTTTACAAGAAGATTTTAGTCCACACATTTTCTAGAGACACCTAGATTACACATCAAGATATTTTTCTAGAACTCTCTAGATATTCTTAATAAAACCACATATCTTACTTAGATATTTATATAGATTTTTCTAGATAATGCTTCTAGAAATGTTATGCATATTGGACCTTTTAATTGATTTGGGCCTATAAGCAAAATCCTTAAACCCATATTATTTAGTCCAAAAATCAAGTTTACTACTCAACATCCTCCCTTAAACTTGATTTTGCTACTCCAAGTAGAGTTCTTAACTTGCGGAACACATCATGCTTGAGTGGTTTAGTGAGAATGTTGGCGATCTGCTCCTGGAATGTTACATATTTCAGCTGCACTTCTTTTTTTTGCAATGCTTTCTCTTATGAAGTGATGATATCTTGTATCGATGTGCTTGCTTATATCATGGAATACTGGATTCTTTGCCAATGCCAATGCCGATTTGTTATCAACATGGATTTCGATTGGCTCTTCTTGTGATACTCCAAGCGTCTTCAACAAGTTTCTAAGCCAAATCGCATGGCAGACACTTGATGTAGCTGCAACATATTCAGCTTTACATGTAGATAGTGCTATGATCGATTGCTTCTTTGAGCTCCAAGTGAAAGCTGTGTCACCCAAGTAAAACACATACCCAGTCGTACTCTTTCTATCATCACTATCTCCGCCCCAATCGCTGTCACTATATCCAACAAGTTTGAACTCATTAGATGATGAATAGACTAAGCCATAATCAAGCGTACCTTTGATGTAGCGAAGAATTCTCTTTGCAGTTTTTATATGGGTCCTGGTAGGTGTCTCCATATAGCGACTAATGAGCCCAACTCCGAAAATGATATCTGGTCTTGTGCACGTCAAATATCTTATACTTTCAACAAGACTCTTAAAAAGTATTGGATTTATTTTTTCACCTTCATCATTCTTCGACAACTTGATTCCGCATTCGACAGGGGTGCATACGATTTTACAGTCTTCCATATTGAATTTCTCTAGAATTTCTTTCGCATATCCTTCTTGTGAGATGAAAATGCAGTCCTCCATTTGCTTTACCTCTATCCCAAGATAGTAGGCCATGAGGCCGATATCCGTCATCTCAAATTCTTGAGCCATGACCTTCTTAAACTCAGTAATCATACTTTGATTATTTCCTGTGAATATAAGATCATCTACATACAAACAAACAAGCAAAATATCTCCTTTCTCATTTACCTTTGTGTAAAGGGCATACTCGTGAGGGCATTTTGTAAAGCCATTTTCTAGAAAATACTTGTCAATTCTACTATTCCATGCTCTTGGAGCTTGTTTCAACCCATATAAAGCCTTTTTTAGTTTCAGGACTTTACCTTCATGTCCTTTTATTTTATAGCCCATTGGTTGCTTCACATAAATTTCTTCTTCGAGATAGCAATTTAGAAATGTCGATTTCACGTCCATTTGGAATATCTTCCACTTATTTTGCGCTGCAAGAGAGATAATTAATCTTATGGTTTCTAAACGAGCAACAGGAGCAAATACCCCTTCATAATCAATTTCCGACCGTTGGTTGTATCTTTTGGCAACCAATCTTGCTTTGTATCTTTCTACGTCTCCTTTAGCGTTCTTCTTTACCTTGTACACCCACTTAACGCCAATTGCTCTCTTTCCTTTGAGAAGAGTTGTCAGCTCCCACGTATCATTTTTCTCTATATCCTTAATCTCTTTATCCATAGCATCTCTCCATCTTTTATTTTGCGCCGCTTCTTCATATCCTACTGGTTCACAATCGGCAAAAAGACAAAAAAATGTGAGATCATTTTGATTTTCTGTTACCTCATATAACTCTTGTAAGCTCCTCATCCGTGGTGTCCTTTCGCTTGAACTTTCTCCTTGTGAAGATGATGGAGAAGCATCTTCATGGGTAGGTGATAGAGGTGGACTGATAATCTCTTGCTATTCTCCATTCTCTTGTTCTTCTTCATCAAAGAATGGTAAGAAGTCATAGTCTTCTTCTTGGACACCCCAATCCCAAGATCCTTCTTCATCAAACTCAACATCTCTACTTATGATGATCTTCTCATTGCTTGGATTATACAACTTGTAGCCTTTAGAGCGAGAGTCATAACCGATAAAAACATACCTTTCACTCCTGTCATCTAGCTTGGATCGTTTTTGATCTAGCACATGAGCATATGCAATGCTCCCAAATACTCGTAAGTGAGAGATGCTGGGCTTTCTTTCACTCCATGCTTTTTGTGGTGTCTTATTCCACACACTTCTAGTAGGCGATCGATTAGACAGATATATGGCGTAATTAATAGCTTCAGCCCAAAGTTTTTTGGGCAATCTCTTACTTTTGAGCATGCAGCGGGCCATGTTAAGGATGAATCTGTTCTTTCTTTCGACTACTCCATTTTGTTGTGGAGAGTATGGAACCGTCAATGGGCGACGAATTCCATTCTCCTCACAATATTTCTCAAACTTTTTGGAGGTGAACTCTCCTCCTCTATCCGATCTCAAGGCTTTTATACTATATCCGCTTTCTTTTTCAACAAGAGCTTTAAATTTCTTAAAAGTTTCAAAAACTTCCGATTTTTGCTTGAGAAAATAGACCCAAGTCTTTCTACTAAAATCATCAATAAAAAGAACAAAGTAATTGCTCTTACCGAGAGAGCTTGGATTGATTGGCCAACAAATATCAAAGTGTACAAGTTCTAGCGACTTCTTAGCTCTTGTAGATGCTTCTTTTGGAGAAAATTTTCTCCAATGCTTTCCAAGTAAGCATCCTTCACATAATTGATCCGCATGATTTATTGGAGGCAAACCTTTCACCATTTTCTTCTTACTCAACAACTTTAAGCCTCCAAAATTAAAATGCCCAAATCTTAAGTGCCAAAATCAAGTGAATCTCTAAAACAAGCTTTTAAGTATTTAGCGACATCATTTTGAATGCTTAACGCAAACATTTTATTTCTTATTATAGGGACTTTGGCAAACAATTTTTCTCTTTGATCTCTTGTTGAAAGACTATGATCTTTCAAATGAATATCATAGCCCTTCTCTAAGAGTTGTCCCAAATTTAAAATGTTTCTTCATATTGGGCACATAATAGACATTTGAGATAAATTGATGCGTACCATTTTTCAAGCGAACCAAGATTTTACGTTTTCCTTTCATTGGGATCTTGGATTCATCTCCAAAGGTAATGTTGCCGCTTACTGATTCATCAAGCTCCACAAACACTTTTTTCTTCCACACATATGATTGCTTGCTCTTGTATCCAAATACCAAGTATTCTTTTTTCCGCTCTCTTCACCTTTGTAAGCCAACAGTAATGCAGGATCTACTTCACTTTCCCGACAAGTGTAGTTGGCTTTCTCCTCAACTTGGTAAGTAATATTTCTACATTTTGAAGCATAATGACCAAGTTTTGACAATTGTAATATTTAATTTGAGATTTGTCATACCTTGGTCCTTCATTTTGTCTCGTACATTTTCCTCTTCCACGACCTCTGGTAGAAAATGAACTTTGTCTTCTTTCCTTCTTGTAGAATGCAATTCTTCCTCGATCTTGGCCTCGTCCTCTTCCTCTTCCTCTTTGGCTTCTTCTACTATTGAACCTTCCTTCGCCCTCGTTCAAAGTGAGCTTTATTTGAAGAGCTTGCTCTAATGACTCTTTTTTCACCTTCTTCCTTAATCTTTCCTCATGGGCTTATAAAAATTTCATGAGTTAATTGACACTCATACTATCTAGATCTTTAGATTCCTCAATGGCTACAACTATGTAGTTAAATTTAGAATCTAAAGACCTAAGTATCTTCTCAATTACTCGAGTGTCGTTTAACTTTTCTCCATTCCTTTTTAATTGATTCACAATAGCTAATACTCTAGAGAAGTAATCAGAAATTGATTCCGATTCTTTTATATGTAAAGCTTCAAACTCACCTCGAAGTTTTTGAAGTCGAACCTTTTTCACCTTCTCAACTCCTTTGTGGGAATTTTGCAAGATCTCCCATGCTTCCTTACTTGTAGTAGCACAAGCTACTTGTAAGACATTAAACCCTAATACCAAGATCTTTAGAATTCTTGATTTTCACATATGAATTTTAATTGATCAAGAAAACATACCTTGATCCATGGCAATAATTGAGAATTTTAGATCTGCAAAATAATAAACTGTTAAAATTAAAGAAACCGTTCTCTCACTTTTCCTCTCTTTTATTGAATGAATTAATTGATAGATTTCATTCACATTTATAGGCAGAGAGAAGCAGTCTCATTTTGTGCCATAAAACTCTCAACTTTTCATCAAAGTAAACAATTATAAAACTACCATTTCTCAATTGGGCCAATAGGATTTTAGTAATATTAATCACCTTTAATTAATTCTTTAATATTACATGGGCCACAAATAATTGGTTTTACATTCTCCCACTTGGCCCGTGTAATATTGTTTTGTTATGTGGTATATAACATAATACGCATACCATTAGCTAAAATCCATCATACATTGGTCACTTAATATATCATCCTTAAGTAAAGACTAATAAGAGTCATGACGATTTCACACCATCATATAAGCATAATTCCTTCCATGTACTACAGTATTAGTCCCTACCCAACATGACACATAATGAGAAGTTCGATAATTGCATTACATTAATGTCTTCGAAAAGACTATCCCTGTCAGCATTTGCATAATTCATTCACGTGCATGTACCAACAGTTATGACATGAATAATATTTTGTCAAAAACAATACATAAATGAGCCCAAAATATCAATACATAAGCATCATAAATTGCATAATAATGTTAATGATAATTTTCAATAATGCCCATCCTTTCGACATGTTCATTGAATGTCTTTGGTGACAGTCCTTTTGTTA